AAATTTTTTTATAAATTAAAAAGCACATAAACATAAAAAAATTATTTATAAAAGAAATGAATTCAAACCAATATTTTTCATGCCTTTCTGTGCCCAACCATGATCTGTCCAAAATCTTCGTTGCTCCGCTGTTATTCCTCGTTTTCAAAGTTCAATATTGTCATTCTTTCTGTCATCTAAAAGATGATAAAATAGGAAGAATTATAAGTGTGTGTGTTAGGGCTGCGGTGTGTGTTTATACTAAGTTTATCCATAAAATTCTAATTCCATATCGAGAGCTAGATATACTCTCTCACAAAATTCTTAATTTTATCTCATAAACTTCAGTAATTCTTCCGTTAGTACGTTTAAAGCTTACACTGCTCTTGTTGTAGTATTGTATTTTAAAATGCTCTTTCATCATTTTGTTCTATCTCTCTAATAGAATTTTCGAAAAGTTTCTGCATTGCTCCAGTTTGCTGTCTTCAGAATGTGTGTGTGGTAGTTAAGCCTTGAGCTGTGACTTTTGTAAGAGCAAAGGCGAGTACGCTCATGCTTTGGACTATTATGCCAAATGTCTCAGGATGAGAGAAAAATGTTTGCCATCTGATCATCTAGATATTGCTCGTAGTCTGTATAAGATTGGCAATGTTTATAACAGGAAAGTCGAGTATAATCGTGCGGTAGAGTGTTTTGAAAAATGTTTGGAGATTCGTAAAAAGCTGCTTGCATCAGGACATCTGGACCGGGTCGGGGATAGGAGTCTTACTAGTTTCTTATATAAGATTGTCTAAAATTTCCCATCGAAAGTGGTGTCTTATGAGAATCCAATAAGATTTTCATAAGAAGCTTATAAGTCAAACATAAGAAATCCTCAAGTCGAATGCCAGCCAGGAAAAAGTCTGAGTTCCAGTTTTATGGAATATTACTGTACTTCACGGGCTTTTAGACTTTAGTCTTACCACACGTTAGGAATTTTGGAAAACCTGGCTTTCTAGCTACGGAAGTCGTCCTCGAACGAGGCATGTGATCGGATTCATTTTTACGTCATTCGACCAAGCATTCTTCAGCTTTGATTTGATATAAAATAAGATATATTTCAACACATTTTGAGGCAGTAGAGCAAAAATAAGAACAGCTATTTATGCCTTTTGGCCTGTTTTTACAGCCGGGACTTGCTACTCCAGATCACACTAGAGCATGTGGTTTGTATTGATAATAGTACAAATCGACTTTGTCTTTAACTAGAACTAAGGAGAAGCGATACAAAATATTTGGTTATAGAAAAAACTGGTCTGAAAATTGACCTGTAATGGGTCACTTCAAAACTTGGATTCCCCGAGAAACTATATTCCATATGTGCTGCTGCGGAGCGACAGAGGCTTTTACTTCAGTTCGCTGCTACTACAAAGTCCACAGAGTCTCATCTTCACGGCTCTCAGCTCATGTATACGTGAGTGGAACTGTATGGAAGTATCCGTCTGAGGAAGATACAGGTTTTGCATATGGTAAACGATGACAGACTCCTAAAAAAGTACTTTTATAAAGTAAAATGTCGATTGTGTAGGAAACAGTTAAATGAAAATAAAGTTATTTTTTGAAAAAAATAATATATCAACGACAACAAAAAATTGTTCTTCTGTCTCTACATTGGCTTGTATACATAGGAGTGAAACGTGCTGATAAATACAGTTTGTGAGAGATGGGCACGTGGAACTAAACTCTCATACAGGGACTAATTACATGATGGTATATTCCACTATTATATTGTTGGTTTAAATTAAAGTACCAGTACATATGCGCACCACCACATATTTTATCAAGTTTAAGTTTAATATATTTTTCAATATCGCCGAAGCTGAATCTTGTCAGTGAACGTAGATCCGACATATTTTATACAAGTTACAGTATTGAAAATGAATATTATGATGTTTGTTAAAGAATGAAAGTTTGTGTATGTATGTATGTGTATCTTCGGCGATATTGAAAAATATATTAAACTTTAAACTTGATAAAATATGTGGTGGTGCTACTGATAGTCATATGAAAAACTCCATGGTGCATCAGAAATCATTTGCATTACATCCGGAAGAAGGACATATTTTGAGAATTGTAATTAAATCTGATGGTACAACAGCCGATGTTAGTGGAAATGTGAAACATAGTATGGCCAAACACAATGTTTGTTGTGTGAAAATCACGTTTTCTGACCTAAGTGCACCTGGTAAGTGAGTTTCGACATTTAAGAAGATACAGTGTTGTCAAGAGATAATAGGTATATATAACGATGAAAAGACTTGTTAAGTGTTCAACTGTGTCCTATTAATCGATTTTGAACACCCGAAGCCATAAAAAGTCCCATACCAAAATTTAAATATCAAAAAACTAGAAATTTAAGTAAAATTAGAGAGAGGTTTTCTGAAGATCCCTTAGAAAGCCCTGATCACGTGATGTGCGAACATTGCCAAACCCCTACGTTTGTACACTTTTTAATACTCTTTCCAATGCCGTTTGAATGAGCTCTCTATCACCTACCTGAGCTGCGTTATAGTGGTTTTAAAAAAGCTCCTTTTTTAAAATTTGTTTTAAAAATCGGGAATTTGAATTAGAGACTTAATTTCTTTTTTTTAAATCCATCTTTCAACCCTGAATTTGCATATTATATTCAAAAAAGTTTTCTCTCGCTACGTCTTTATAAAGACTCATTTTATTCAAAACCTATAGCTCAAAAACCCTGGTTTTCTAGAAATCCTACTTCTGAAGGTTTTTGAAAAAAATTTCCGCTTACTAAAAGAAAGAGCGTGACTTGAAATCCTCAGGCCCCAAGTTTCGTACCTATCGCGTAACTAGAGAAGGAGTTAGCCTAGACCAACTTTCTCATGTTAGACGCCTATTCATTTCTCTTTCTTGCATTGTTCTGCTTAAGAAATAAAAATCTTTCCAACATCTGCTTTTCAATAAATTTTTTATTTTACGTTAACACATTCACATGAACAAAGAGACGTTGAAAGTAAAAATATATTCTAAAACAACAATTAAATAAATAGTTACTGTTTACAAAAAAGAATAATACTTTTGAAAAGCAGATGAGAATTTGAACACGTGAATGGGTGGTGGTTGCATGAAAAATGTGCGCGTACAAAATACTGTTCTTCCAACCGAGTCCAATGGATCCAGTATTGTTTCTGTTACGCCAGTGACTGAGAAACAAGGAAAAATCTTCTGCAATAAGACGGCAACAATTATTATTTTATTCGGATTGAGTGAACAAAGTACTGTACTAACAAATCTTAAACAAAAGTTTATCAATATTTATATGAAATCATTTAACAGAAATGAGATAGATGAATGTGTCAACTATCTAGAAATTAAACAAGCGCAAAATATGGTACTTATTACATCCCACGTGTTGGTTGAAAAAATACTGATGAGAGTTTGTAAACTGTCACATGTGATTTCAGTATATCTATTAAACCCCAACATGTCTAGTAATAATGTAATACAAAACAATAGTTTTGTAAAAGTTTACAACATCGACGACGAGAATGAACTTGTTAACGTTTTAAACAATGATCTTAAATTAGAGAGTTTTAAGTCAACATTTACATCGTCCAAGGTACTTACACTGAGTATTCCTCAAGATACGATCAATAATGTATTTGAAGCACTCGGTGAAATCAGTGGTATTTATACTTATACATTAATCACTTTCACATGGAAGCTAATCAATCCTCAGATAGTACTAAAAAATTATTTAACTAAACTCGTCAAAGATGAGACCAGTGTCAAGTGTCAATTCAATACCGATGTTCGTATTGAATCTTTACAGATAATTTATCAAACAAAAGTTGAGGGAATAGTATTAGTATCATTCGATGATAAATTAAATAAGATTAACATTGAAGTAATTGAAGCTAAAGTAAAAATACCCATTTTTGATCTTGATATTGCCAAATTGTTACCGTCAATCAGTTTACCTGGACCACTGAATATGATACCCGAAAAACTCGATATTCCAATGCCAGATAATACAATTAAACAATTGTATGGATATCCAAGTCAGTTTAAGTTAACCATTGAGGATTCAAATTTAATTGTTTCATGCAAAGTGGAAGTCAGCGATAAACCATTACTTAGTGATCAAAAGAAGTAACCCGAATAATACAAGTTTTATTTGAACTATTTTAATTGGAGAGTGAAATTTCTCTTAAACATCTCGAAAACAAACGTTTAATTTCTCGACTGAAGGCGAAGTGTTTTATTAAGCATGAAAAGTGATATAGAAAAAAAAATAACTTATAATAATAAGTTCTAAATGAATGAAATAACCAAAAGAGACGGGTAAAAAGTCAGATTGCATCCACATGCAAAAGAAATGTTGCTATTGTCAATATTCGACAGCTTTGTAAAGAGAAAAAAATTAACTAAAAAGCTGTAGATGAAAATATTCAGCGAATTCAGGTATATTGTTTTGATAGAAATTTCTCGTAAAAATGTACTATATCAACTTGTAGATTCCTCGAACAAATCAACTAATATTTTTAGTTTTAGTATTAAAAAAGAGAGAATGATGAGTATTAAGTACACCTGACAATATGGTAGAGAATACTTCAATGCAATAGGTGTTGTTTCTCTTAATATGTAAGATGTAGTAAATCGCTGACATTACGACGCATAAAATGAGACAGTGAAGTGATATTATTTTTCCACGACACTAAGTTTATATCGAATCATAAAGACCAGCATTCATATTGGTTTAAGCCTGTAATCTTGAAGCATTCATATTTGGTTGATGATGTATATGAATCAGTTTGTAAATCGACAATCGACAATCCATAATTCCTCAATATGACATACTGCATCTATCGCAACTGTCCGATTGAGATTAGTTTTTAGTGCAGTTGATGAAACTTTAACTAACAAACGTAGTTTGGCATGGATATTAAAGGGCCAAACAACTGAGCAGCGGAAGAGGCTCGTGATGAAAGTCTCACGTCAGCAGTTTTTATCGAGTTAAAACGAGAGAAAGCTGCTCTGTGTTTTAGTATTTTGAATAAATTCTGTATAGAGAAATGATTTAAGTTTAACTTTATGAGTAACGGCCAAGGCAGGAAAGCAAAACTCGTTAACTACGATTCTACAGGCCAGCCTCTGTACTGGGTTTTTCTGTAACGATTTTTCGTTTAAAGTTAGGCCAACGAGAGCGCAACTGAATGGCGATCTGTCAAAAACTAACCAAAAACACTTATATATATTTAATTCAACTGATATACCCTCGTACCACTGAGAAACCTTATCAGGTTCCTCTCTAACAGTAGAAAAATCAGAATTAGATGGAAGAGGAATACAACAGAAAAGATCGTCAGCAAAGATAGACGTGATGATAGCGGTTGGACTCAGTACATCTGGAAGCTCATTTATAAATAGTAAAAATAACAAGAGGTCAGCATGCTTCCTTGAGGCATCCCAGACGTTATCCACACAGAGTCAGAACTACAACCATCAATCTTAATCTGTTAAGTTCGAATTTGCAAATAAGAAGAAAACCACTATAGAAGACTTTTCTCAATTCCAACACTCGTTAACTACAAAGAAATTGACACGGAACCCTATCAAAGACTTTGGTGAAGTCAAAGGGGGTTCCAAATGTACGGACGGGTATTTGCTCATTCATCATTTCAAAGACTTTATGAGTTAGATAGGCTAGCGCATCAATGGTGGGCGACAAATTTTTCTCCTTTTTTAAAAATCGGTTTGATTAGAACGTTTTTCCACATTGTGGGGGATTTCTCTGCCCCCAATGAACAATGAAAAAGGTGAAGACGAGGTGCAATCATTTCAGCAACGTGTTAGAAATTCTATCGCCATACCATCATCCTCCCTTGTTTTTATGTTATTTAAACCTGTTTATAGCAGCAAAAACTTTCGGCACAAAAATCTTAGAGGATTGTTTTATTTTATTGGACAGGCAGTAGTTGACTAGTCGATTGTCATACTTAAAAACAAACTACAGAGTCAGATAATTAAAGAATAAATGCGTCCGATTACAAAGCCAAAGAGTTTTATCAAAGTGGCCGATCCAGTCTAACCGCTAATTAACTGATATCTGGTCATAAGTCTGGACTACGATTTGTGTGTAGTTGGAATGCGGGCACTAGTACGAACAGTATTAGCACATGTTCGAATTATAAGTTACATTTATTACACAGCTCATCAGTTGAATACCAGAACGATCGTTTCGGAGCTTTAAATTTAGTACGATCTTATTTGTTTTGGCGTTTTTGCAGTAAGTGAAAATATACTGCCTCTGCATTATTTATGCTTCGACTATCAAACCATTTGTGTGAGATGAGAGCTTTTTAGTCACAATCATAAGAGGATGAAACGAACTATCCGACAATGTTGTAAAGCCTTTTTTGCAAACATCGAACAGTGTATTGCCAGTTACGCTTCTTTATAAACAGTAAATATTAGCGTAAAATTAGGTAAAATGTACGGTTATATTTGGATTCAAAGATAACTACATCTGTAATATGTAACAAATAGACCTATAACAAGTAAAGGTTTATAACAAACAAAAACACGGTATTAACATTCAAATAAGCGGAAAAATGCACCAGAAAAATTAATAACAGGACCAACAAAAATAATGTTACACATGTAGCAACGAGAAATCCGAATCGTTTTCCTTTAATTACTTTACGCAGACACCTATCCACCTTACACTTTAATACACAACACAATTATGTAGCGATAAAAGCAGAGAGAGAGACAGAGAGAGAGAGACACTAAAAATAGCAAAATACAACTACCAAATGTACAAATAAGTACGTTTATCTGAACTGTGTCAATAACGATGCATGTCTAAGCTTGATACAAAAGTATCAGCAAAATGTGCCAATGATCTGACTCGTTACATTCTCCTCTTAGTTGAAACACAAGAATCGTCATTTACCAGCACTAAATCAATGTACAACACAGAGTGACCAGAACAATTAAAAAACCCAAAAAAACATCCCAAATAACAAATATTAGTAGTAACAAACAATATATAGGTATATAGTCAAAAAAATGAAATTCGTTCATGTTTAGTGTGCATTATCTAACTAATCATTCATCGTCTTCTTCATCTTCTATCTCACTGTCTTGTTGTTTGGTATTATTTACTGGAGGTTGTTGATACTGATTTAACCGAAATAAAATTTGTTCTAATAATATGTTTTGTTTATTAATTGTTTTTGTTAGTTCTGAATAGAAATCAAATTGTTTCGCTTTGTAACGATCTTGATCGATCAGATGTGTTGCTACCGATGTTAACTGTTCAATGGCTTTTGTTAATAAAGTAGTTGTGGTAGGGGAGTTTGCACAATCATCGGACTTTTTAAATCGTTTATAAATCTGCGACGGTTGTTGATGATTGTTTGATATAACTTTCATACCGTTACATGCCATAGTGGAAGGTGACGTTTTATGCAAACTCGAAGCTTCATTTTCAGATTCTTCTTCTTTTTGGTCATCAGTATTAAATTGCTGTTGTTCTTCTTCTTGGTCAACGTCGTCGTCGTCATAATAGGAATTTTGATCGTTATCATGATCAATTCCATTTGTTTGATAAGTGGATAGTGTGGATTGAGCGACTAGACTGGTATTCGGAGGATAAGAATAATTTATTGGCGTATCTAGAATAAAGAAATTACTTAATACATCCGTTAAACACCTGCGACGATTTTTACTTTGTTTTTGTTTTCGTCGTTGTTTTCGTTCTTTATTCCTCAATAGCCCCTTTTCTACGAGCTGAAAATGTACATTATTCGAGATTGGACCATTTGGTTTTTCCATATATTTTCTATAGGCTTGTATCATGTTGTTTAATTTAATTCGAACATTTTTAACATCACGTTCAATGCCATGTTCGTCTCGAAGTCTTTCAACAATTAATTCGTACACTTCACCTAGGGAGAAAAAGACAAGTTTTATTTAACAATTAGAAATCAAAAACAAATAGTAGAGAACCATGACGTCTTGAAGTTGAAAAACGTGATTGTATTTCTTCGTCTGCCCATAGGAGTAATAGAGCATTTGTATCAGCTACCCCCCATTCGCAACGTTGTGTGACCATTTTGAAAACAAATACAATATTTCTTTAATCACGAGTAATCTATTTAAAGAACAGAATGAAGTGTACTAATGACTCTGTATATAGAACACAATTAATACTAACAAATGGTTGCTGTAGACTAGTGCTTGTTCTACTCAATACAGTATTCTGTATTATTCGCGAATTATATGTTTTTCCAGCCTAATAATCAAATGAGTAAACTGTTTGTCTATCATCAGAATTATTATTATGGACCTCGCAACATTTTCTATTCGAGTGGTCGCTTCATGGATAAAGCCACTTCATGCCACTCTTATGAGACTTGCATGTATTCGATTTCAAAAATACTCACAATTTAGAAACTTAATTTTTGACAAAACTTCTTCTAATTTCCCCTACATTGAGTATAATATATAGAAGAGAAAACTATTATTTAGTTTATGTTTTATCCTATTTATTACACAGAAAATAGAAATTTTCATAATGTCCCTTCGTCGGATCTTAAGGAGAACTACACAATTGCTGAAGCAGCATTAATCAGTGTATTATTAACTTATCCATATTAGTTTGGAGGTGAGTGGTCGATTCACTTACTTTCATTGATTATCGTAGATTATTTTGACCATTTATTTTAATATCTTTTACTCAGTATAATTCTGGCTAAAAGATTAAGGTTTTTGTGACCGAAGCTGCCACAACACAATGACCTACTAGGATGATACAGGTAATTTCATTGGTTTACGAGGAAAACCAATAAAATTTCATGAATGCAGAAAACATAATTAAAGAGGAGAATGTGTGGAACATGATTTCTCCGTAGTAACAAGGTTATTCAGAGAAATAAAGCTCAGCTGACGGTAGACTACATGTGTATTATTAAATGTTTCCATTTACTGACTGCATCCTTATTATTACTCGTTTTATTCATGACTTTTAAGCAAAAGTGATGAACTCAAAAAGTGAAGAAACAGTTTGTAAAACAAAACCAAGCACCAGAAGAACAAAAAGATAAATTCACCTGTGTCTTTCTACTAGCAATTTTCCAACTTTATGGAAAACTGCATTCATTGTACCTATTCATAAAAAAGACCCTCTTGCTGATATTTCTAATTACCGCCCTATTACACGTCTTCCTGTTGTTTTTGAATGTCTAATTTATAATTTTATTTTGTCTCACCTCTCCACATTCTTCTTTTTTTTATTCAACTATTGCTGATTGAAATAATCTCCCAGAGTCAGTTATTTGTCTTTCTTCTTTAACGTCTTTCAAAACAGCTTTATGTCAGTATCTCTTCCAGTGAAACATTTGCCAGTTAAGAATTTATATTTGTTCCTTTTTGCCTACTTCTTTTTATTTTCAAAAATTTGTTTTTTTTACTACTTCTGGTTCTAATCTTAGTTGTCTTATTTATTTTGTTCTTTTTTATTACTGTTTTTGTGTTGTTTGGCTTGAGTCATTTATTACAGGTCAGTGACCTTTGATGACTCTCTCACTTTTCGTGAATAAAACAGTCTTAGTCTTAGTCAAAATTTTCGAGTGCGATTTGAGTCTAGTGGAATGCGATATTCAGAATGAGAACGGTTGATTTCCTGTGTCCATGATTTTTAGTCCGAGATACTTCCGAAAATTGAGTTACAAAAAGCTTTCCAATTTTTGAAAAACATTCGACCGGCAATCGTATCCGTATCAAACAAAAAACATATTTTCATATCGTCTCTTTAGTCCACTGAGCTACGAATATACTCGAATCGTCCGTCCTTCCATCAAGTTATAAATATAGAAAATGAAAACAGAAATATTTATAGAATTTCTGGTTATTTTTCAGCATTTTTTTCTACGCTTTAGTCTTCTGTGGATCAGAATAGACAGCTCTATTCATCGCACGAGGAGACTGTTGTCTTCATATTTGAATATAATATATAATATTTATTGAAAATATAACTTTTTTCAAACATTTTGCTTTTGCTTTATCAACCCGAATATGAAGTCAACATTTTACATAATTTATACGGCAGGCACGTGTGCTATTGAAGATGTTTTGCTATTCACCTTTTAAATCAAACGTGCAAAAAGAGAATTAGTTTGTATTCCCATGTGTGGTGACTCATCCAGTTATTTACAGGTTTCCTGGAGAAATACGATTTTTGCTGGCAAAACAATTCATTGGATGAAAGTTGCAAATTTTGACAAGGATCAGACGAGGTTTCATTTCCGGTTTTCGGTTTTCTAACGGACTCTCCAAGAGTCATTAATGAGCTATTAAGAATAATCGTTATAGTCTGTCGAAGTACTTTTCGCCTTTTATCTAGCTGCTTGGTGAAGGCGAAATTTGTTGGATTTTTTTGGACATTCTGTGCTGTGTTTCAACATAGATGTAATTGGATTAGCGGTTGTAGTGGTATCTAATGATTTAAGGTCAAGTTAAACTAAAATTTTTTTGATGAAACGCCAGTATCAACGTGACTGACACTTAATGGAAGAAATTTTAATAAAATCTTCATTCCGCTTTAAGATTTACATCTACACCTACACAATAACTACCATAAAAGTCACACAGTGTTGTCGCGTAATTTCATACAGAAACTTGGGCAGCGTAAGTATCCATAATTACTCATAAATAATTAGATTCTTTTATTTGCTACATTTAGAATATCTTCAAAATATTGTTCTAGTACACTAGTTAAAGCGCAGCAATGAACATGATGCTTATACTTCTAGATGTTCTTCAATATGGTGTATTTCGCAGAAATAATAATTCGATTATTTGGAGCATGCAATCAAGTCACCTGTTCAAATAAATAGCCAATACTCTATTCGCATTTACTATCGTTTCTTGAAATTCGATACATTTTTCCCCGTTCAAATCCTGTCCAAGCAACAAGCATCTGAATATACGGTATATTAGAAGATATATTAGGATTAGAACTTCATAGTTATCAAAATTTCTATTTAGATTATGCTATAGATTTCACGCGAATTATGGCAATGATACGTGACCAAAAGAGATGCCACATTACCTGTTTTGTAAGTAATTCAATTCGATATTTGTTCCATTGACCGACACTCACATGTAGCTTTAGTTCGCAATCTTAATTTGTTTACTTTATAAACGGCAGAACAGCATGAATACGATGGTTTTCTTTTGACAACGTTTATCTCTGAATAGTTGTGCGAAATTTACTAAAGTGAAGGAGTTTGGGTTATTTTAATACTATGTGGTTGAAAAAAGTGGTTTATACTTTGAAGAAATCGGCTAATTTTACTTTTGTGCATGTAAAATCCCGATTTTAACCAAACTACTTTTGAACTTTTTTACTTGGGAACCCTGACGACAGTTATTCGTTTGATAGTACCTCCAAGGTACCAAGATGCTTTTTTTTCTATATATACTAGCCATATTTTCCCTTAGCTATTTCCATTTCCAGCTGTAAACCTTTGTAGCGGTTTATTTATTAGCGGCTGGTAGTTATTACTAAAAGACTTTTACCTTGTGGCTCCATGTCAAATACATGTTAACGCTTCTTGACAGTGACGTCGTTGATGACACTATCGACAACCAATAAAACGAATTCCTTTGTTTCACCGTTTTGATATTGGACATACAGAGAGCAGAACCTAGTCTATTTTTGCCAAAAACTCATTGAATGGGAAGGAAACTTTTAGAATGTCTTTGTTTAGGGAACATGAAAGAAATACTAAATTTTCATAAGACGTACATTTAATTTCTATGTCGGAGTTTTCCAGTATTAGTGTGAATTGAAGAGTGAGTTGAATGATGGAAGTGAGCACACATACACTTAGCATATGTTTGGATTGAAGACAATTGAACCAAGATAGCATTGTTCTGAGCATGGTTTATAGCTCTGTTTATGATTCGTGTTTTGAAGGAAAAAACGTAAAGAGCACTTTAAGGATACACTGCAAATTTGAAAAAAGAGAACTCCGCGTTCATGTACTTCTCTCGAAATCACATACAATAGTTCGTTCACTTATTGAGTAAGGTGTAATCATCGGCTTTTCAACCTGGAAGCTGTCAGGTAGCTTCGGGATTTTTCACGCACTTTACTCCGTATTTTCACGAAGCTGAAAATGGAAACTGAATTCACGGACTGACTTCAAAAGCAGAATCATAAAGGCAGAATCATCCTGCTCTGTGCACACCTTTGTTCTTTAACCGCTTGAAAAACATCCGTGTTTCTACTGATTTATTAAAACTCCCGATTGAAATAGAACGAAAAAAATTTTTCGTCAAAGAAAGTCGTCTTTGGTTCTAAAGACTTGCAGCAATAGAAGCATTGTTGTTAACTATGTCTCATACGCTTCACAGCATTGTTACCGAATCGTAAATGTGCAGTGTGCTCACCTTTGTGCTATAGCTTTCTTACAGCTAAAAAATTTGTCTAAAATGCTTATATTTATTCTAATTTTAAAAGAAAAATGAGTAATACAGAATCTGGTATGGATCGTCGTCGAGATATTAAAGAATTAGTGAAAAAGTTTGAACAAAAATGTATTGATTATCTTAGTAAACAAATGGCTAAACTTGAAACAGACATCAGTTTTTCGTCCTTATCGGAAGAAGACAAATTGATAGTCTATCAACATTTTTATAATCAATATAAACAATGTCAAAAACAACAAAAAGAATTAAATCTATTTGTCAATGGAAAATTAAAATTAATTGATAATATAAATGAACAGTCAAAAAACATAGATAATTTACAAAATCGAATTCAAAATGCACAACAGAATGAAGAGAAACAAATTCAATTCTATGAAAATGTTTTATTTGAACTAAATAAAAGTCTAAATGAGAGAAATTATGCTAAACTCATCGAACAAACTGAAGAACTTATTCAGATAAAAGATAAAACTTTGCAACAAAGTAAAGAAAATGTAGACAGTTTTAAAAGGTTATTATAAACAAATAAAATAGGGAGCATCTATTGTTCTTTGTTGTTTTTAATGAAAATTATTTGTCTATGTCGACTAATGAAAAATATATGCATTTGTGGATCTTCTTTTTATTGTCTCATTGTTCATAGATGTACTACTATAACTAAATTACATTTAGTTCTAAATAAATGAAGTATTTTCCTGTGTGTCTACGTGTGTCTTTTATTGTATTATTAATAGATTCGATGTATAATTATTTTAATTACACAAATATGCGTTGAACGAAAGGATAATCGTCTTTTCCCCTCTCTCTTTATCTCCCTAAATATCATAGTTTCTGTTATTATATTTATCGTTTTTCCATTAAGTGTGAAAAGATGATACGAAGTTGGTCCTATTTTGATACAAAAATTAGAAATTTCAAAGGGCTGTTTGTTTCTTCATTATTAGAATTTCTATGTAGTGCCATGTCAATTTATTCGATTTTTTTGTCCTATGTATAAATAGTCGAAATAGTGATCAACAGAACGTTTTTGAGAATGAACACCAGAAAAAAGTAATGAAAATATAACTCATGTAAAGTTATTGTTCGTTCATTTGCTGTTCACCAACGTTGATCCAAAGAATTTTTGATTATTTACTACTATCCGTTCCAAATGGTCAGACCGCTGGTTGCTTTTTGAATAACTTTTGATAGGAATGAGATAGAGACCTGCGATTTTCGCTGTTCAATAGCCAAGACTTGAGTAGAACTTTTCACAAGCGGAAACAACTTTTGAAAAAATTCCAGAGATCGGGTTTTCAGAGGATCTTTGGAAAACCAGCTCCGTTCTCAGAAAACTAACATACAATGTTAGTAATTTTTTTGCATGCGTAGATAGTTCGAACGTTACTCTACAAAATTATGTAAGTCCCAGCTCTCCAGCTATCGTCGTTCGGCCAGGGCTCGCTTTCCTCGAGCACGTGTCTATCTCCGAGCAGACATCT